AGGCTACTTTATTATCTAGACATTTTTCTTCAATAAGCACAGAAATGTACCTGTTTATCCGTACAAGTTTGCCTATAAAAGCTAAGCAGCTACAGGGGTCTGATTTGTGCACATGTATCGACTTCTTCTATTACAGCTTTCACTCTTGTTTGACTCACTCCCATCCATATATGTTTTAGCTTATTCTCACACATTCAGCCCACACTGTTTTGGGTACTGATGTCAGCTGCTCTGAAGGAGTAAGATGACAGAGCTGAGAGTATCATAGAGAAACTACAGAGGACCAGAGGAGAAGTGAGATTCAACTTGTAGAACCTTCAGATGATGTTTCAGATGATTTTGTGATTACTATAGGAAAAGCGAACACAGCATTTAGTGTCCCAAGTTTTGACCACCAACAGAATCCTTCATTGTGCTGATGATGTGGGGGTTTTTTTTGTCTACTAATAAGGTTTTTATCTTTTGTTTGTTTACATTTGCATGCCGATAGGCCCTGTGTGTACATGATTGTATTTTGGGTCTGTGTGTCTGTAAAACTTCCCCATTTCGGATTAATAAAGTTCTTCTTTACAATGATGGCTTGTCTGACACAAGCTCGTATTACAGCTAAACAGTAGCCTACTCTAAAATTAGGCCTAGTTAGACAGTCTGATCTGAGTTTTGTGCGGTGCGCTGGACAGACTAACTGAGAGTCCCTTGTCAATCCCGAGGTAGCCACGCCCAAAAGAATACGCTGCTTTATCGTCTATTTTACTCTAAATTGGACCATCATTTACTAAATGAACATCATAATGTACGGCAGAAGACTTAAAACTAGCGGTTGAGACCATTAACTCTTTAGGAAACTGAGCTAATAAATTAAGTCCATGAGAGTGCATGGTTTTGTTTTTTATTGCAGCCAATGGAGCTCTCCCTGCGGGCCTTTACATAGAGTGCAGGTTTAACACACTTCATGTTGGCTTTACTTTACAGACCTGGAAGCTCTGTCCATTATATATACTGTCAATGGTTTTACCTCAAAAAGGATAATCTAATTGAATCAACTAGAGCTAAATATCAATACGAGCTCAACCAATTATTTGGTCTACCTGCTGCACATAACAATATCCAATGAGTGTCAGAGTTTATGCAATTTTTTTCATCATTTCCATGATTGTATAATTTTGATGTTTTTATTGGGTGTATTAGTGTATAAAATGTGATATTACAAGCATATACATGTCTCCCTTCCTGTTTATTTAATAAAGTCATAACCAATCAATCAAGGTTTCTCCCAGTGTCACATCAACAATATAAGTGAACAAACAACCACAGTGTCCAGCTTTGTGTAAAAGTGGCAACAGGGAAAAAAACTAAAATACAGTAAAACAATTGTCATAACTTCTGAGTGGGTAACACGGCCCAAGGATGGTCTTTTACTAATTTAACCTGTTTCAGATGGTCAAGATGTCTTTTCTACTTTCTCTACTAGAGGGCATAACACAAGGTCTCTGTTATGACTCTAATCACAAACAAGTGTCTACTATCCACTGCTTGAGCTGTGTGTGTCTACAGTGTGTGTGTGTGTGTGTGTGTGTGTGTGTGTGTGTGGGGTGTGTGTGTGTGTGTGTGTGTGTGTGTCTGTTTGTTTGTTGTTAAGACCACTCAGGAACACTTCCTCAGGATTTCCTTAGTGAAAAAAGATCACACTAATGCTCTTTCGTCCATGAACACATTTTTTTAGCAGAGCAGGAATATGAAGTAAACCATAAGCCAAAACAATTCATATTTAACTGAAAAGCCTTCAACAAATGTACGTATTTATCAGTGGAGAGAAGAATTAAAACTGGATGAACTTCGGGAGGAAGAGCAGCTTAGAACTCATTTTCATTTTATGGTGATCATGCTGGATTTTTGCCCATTGATTCATATCTCTTTTGTAAGAAGTATTCTGAGGTTTTATAATACTGTTTACCCTGTAGGCAGTAGCTTGTTTAAAGTATTTCCATCAACTTGCAGAGATGTGAAACTTGCAAAAGATAGCTTGTAAAATAAGCAAAAACATGACTACTGCTACAATTTTATCTTTTAAACAAAACTAATGCAAAATTAGCAAAATCATCTTTTGAGTAGTTAGCACACAACACAGATTACTGATGACAAAAACAGGCAATGGCTGATGAAAATAATTCTAAAACATTTGCCAATATAAAGCATACACTTTAGTTACAGATCTAAAACTTACTTATAATCCTTTACAGACGAAATCTGCCTTTTATTGGGTCAGTCTTAAAAACAGACCTAATTTTGGCATATGCGCACAGAAACAAATAAACCAATTAAAGACAGAGGACAATTTTTTGGAGATTTTACACAACAGAGGAACACCCACACAGACACACACCACTCGCCCACAGACTGTGCGTAAACGCCTAGACAAAATAATTTGACAGGATTCCTCCAGTAATTTCAGTTTCCAGTATCCTGCCGGTTGTAATCTTATTGTCTGAGTCTGTTTTCTGTCCGAGACAGATTTTAAGAGAGGACATCAGATTGGAGTTAACACTGTTTGCCTTTCTGTTTCCTACACACAAAGACAGAAAGCCCCAAAAATGCACACAGACACCACGGAAACACTTTGACTGGAGCAGCATTAAGGTCAGCATGTTCCTTTACTACAAACGAAAGACACATGCACTTACACACAGCACCATAGAACAATGAGAAAATAGCTAATTACTAAGTAATCACTCAGTACTAATTAAAAGGTAATAAAAAAGCACATTTAGAATTAAAATCTGCACATTAACAGTCTGTGGAGTGTTATGTGCACATCGGTATAATATTTTTGGACAATATCAGGGGGCCTCACGTGTGCCTATGCTTGTACATATTTTGTGTGTGTGTGTGTGTGTGTGTGTGTGTGTGTGTGTGTGTGTGTGTGTGTGTGTGTGTGTGTGTGTTTGTGTAGTGCGTATGCGATTGCCTTTGTTTCTCTGCGGCAGTGAAGTACTTGTGTTAAAGTTAAACAGCGCAGACACAAGCAGGTCAGCTCCTCCATCATCCCCACTCGAAGCCGCTGAGAGCACAAACACAGACGTCAACTAAATCACAACCATTAACGTCAACTGAAATCCTGCTGTAAGAAGAAGAAAAAAAAGACGGTTGGACTATTATAGTGATATCATATATTATCATTCAATTAAAGATTCCGATCTGTAAAAAAGACGAATTTGGAAAAATTCCATTCCTCTCCTGAAGTAGTTTCAGAACCTCAGATGAGTCTAAGCTACATGGACAAATGACTTAAGATGACTCATATCTTTCACAGCAAGGTTTACTCTCAAGCCAGCAAGCATTTTGTAAGAGTTTTACTGAGGCCTTTTAAGGCCAAAGGCAAAATACACAGAGGCAAAAGCTTAAAGTCAGGGATAATAGTCACAGAAAAGTACCTGCAATCAGCTTTGTGAATCAAATGTGCTTTGGGCTAAATGCTGATGTCAATATTTACATGCTAATGTTTACCATGTTAGTTTGGTGTGTTAGCATGCTAAAATTTGCTAATTCTGGATGATGGTGCTGGCGTGCTAGTTATTGATTACTCATCCGTGTGTAAAATCTGGAATCAGCCAATCATTCTTAAATTAGGGTCTAAAAACCTATTTTGAGGTTACAATGACCTTTGACCTTTGAGTCACCAATTCAGTGTACAACTGTGAAATATGGTCACAATCTCCCCCTCTGTTCCTGAGTTATGGTGATGAATAATGGCCAAAAAAAAGTGTTTTTACAGGACATTATGATGTCACAGTGAAGTTGACCTTTGACCTTTTGGATAAAAGATGTCATTACTGTTACATGAGTTATGTCCAAAAAACGTCATTTGTCATGGCCCTTTGAGATCTAAGTGACCTTTGACCTTTGGTTCAAAAGTATCACCAATGAATGGACGTACAGAAAGACAACCCGAACATTTAATGCCCCCGGCCGCAGCTGATACCGGCGTGGAGTGTGCCAAAATCAGTTGTCTAAAGCCTGACTTTTATTTTTAAAGCGTTACTGAGACCATTTCCCCTGAGGAGAGAAGATAGAAAGCGCATGACACAGCTCATGAGCAGACCTAATTTTCACAATATAGAGTACACACTATGCTCCAAAGTTGACTGATTTGACTATTAAATTCCTTTTACACAATTTAAAGGCAGTTTCCTTTTTTCTGGTAAAATGTTCCATCTGCAGAACACCACAGCTGCCCATGAACATTTATTTCTAGAGACGGCACAGCATGTTCGCATCTATTATTTACACATTAGGGTATGACACATGGCCTAAATTTTAAAAAATGACTTAATTCAAATAAGATGATGGCCGCACCGTGATATTTTGTCCTGCTGCTGGTGTTGGCCAACAATCCATGATCTACTGTACAGGATGACTGAAACCATATCAAATTACTTTAATTATTTTAAATGTCTTACAAATGGCAACAACAATCTAATTTAATCTAATCTATGCAGCCAGTCAGTAATTAAAATAGTATGTCACCTTGTACCGATCTTTAAATGCAGTGTCCTCATGACATCTGTAACACTAATACTTTATTCATCCCCAAGGGGAAATTCCCAGTTTCCAGCAGTATCCACAAACTGATAATGATAATACACAGACAAAGGACTTTTAACAGAGAGGACAGCAGACAAACACACATCTATTTACATCCCCTTACTCACAACCCTGAGTACTGTAGCCATATGTGTCAAGAGCCCAACAAAACTGCAATGCACTCATCGTAAAGAGGTGAGTATATCCACTGTAGGTAATAAATATTTCATAGTTGGAGTGTACTAAGGCACAACACTGTTTCCACTGGCCAAATGTGCAAATTCCCTCGTCAAAGTTGCCAAACCCAACTGGAAATCGAACCGTAACAGGCAACATTGGCTTAACTGTATTAAATTAAAAAACTGAGCAAATATTCACAGAGACTGGTACAAATGTGACTGCCTTTACTGTGTGTTTACCTCAGTGCCATAGACGTCCCGTTGACCGACGCAGCTGAGCACCCTCTGTGGGCGGGTCCATAGGAGCAGCTCCTTTGCCGTGCGTACCGCTCATCTCCACAGCAGAGAATCACCAGAAACGCCCTCCGAAACGCCCGGTTCAGAAAGGCGTACAGGAAAGGGTTCAACCCTGAGTTAATGTACCCGAGCCACAGCCAGGCTGTCCACAGCTGCCAGGGCACTGAATAATGGATGAAGGGGTCCACCACGTTGGTGATGAAGAATGGCGCCCAGCATAGGCAGAAACAACCCATTATGATTGCCAGCGTCTTTGCTGCTTTAGTCTCAACGCGCATGCGGCTATTTGCTATGGGAGTATGCTCTGAGGAGGAACCTGTTGTTGTCCTGAGGCGGTAGTGCTCCAGTGGATCTGAAGAAGTGGAGGACCTTACTGTGATCATTGGAACCGTCCCAGTAACAGGAGCGGAGCCGGCCCGCTGTAGTGTCTCGATCTGCCGCACATGGGTCATGGCAGTGACGTAGATACGCTGGTAGGCCAGGACCATGAGGGCTAAAGGGACATAGAAGGCCACCGCAGAGCAGATCAGGGCGTACGGCCGGTTGACCAGAAACACACAGCTTGTGTCATTGGAGCCTCCCGCCAAGGCTCGCCTCTCCTCGATCTGTAAAGGAGAGCACAGACACAAAAATTACAAAAGCATTACTAAGAAGTACACAATCTGACATCAGTTGACCTACACTGGGGACTAGTACGGACTGCGGGTATCAAAAAATATACAAAGGTCAGAAAAAAAATTATGAAAAAGCTTTTAAGTACAACTTTGTATGCAACTGACTTTCATCATTATGAATCATGACCTGAAGTTAGTTATAATTGAGCTGGAGCCAGAAACTGCTAGCCCAGCTCAGTTCCAAAAATACTTTTACTTTTCTGTTTGTGTATGTATTAAAGAAACAGGATAGAGATTAGAAAGCTTTAGGTAGGAAGGATTTTTTAATTTAGCTGCTAAGCTGGGCTAAACAAAGTAGTAATATGCTAAACACTAATAACTTATACATAAAATTTTGCTTTTAATCATAAGTTGCTTTTCTACAAAAAATAAGTTTTGTGGAATCTGGCCGACTGCCCATATCTTTGTCCTTAATTGAAAAATTGAAAAGTGAATTTTATCCTATCTCTAGTAGTTGGGCTTGTGTACTGATGAACTACCCTCAGAGCTCTGCATGGTCATAAACTGGTCATTTTGTTTAATAGGGTAATAAAATCCCATCCTACAAGCATTTAAAAGCACATAATACACATATTCAGTACTTCTAGTGTGAAGGCTTAGAGTGAGCACAGACTTCTCAGTTTCAAATCAACATGCCCCAATGGAGCAGATGCTCATTCTTTCTTTAGTTAAAATGGTGCAGACGCAATTCAAACCAAGCAAACATACTCTACTGTATCATTTAACTTGTATCACACTTATTGATTTAGTTCTTGTGGCTTTGTGACAGCTAGAGCGAGAAGAAGTTTCAGTGTCAAACACTTCCTTTTTGGGACAGAACAGAAATTTAATTTTGAGAAACAGACAAGTGACCATAGAAAAGACAAACGTGCACACAACATATAAAATAATAAACTAAAACCTGGCCTAAATGTGCACAGACATAAGTCATTTAAAGTTCTATGTAATTTTGTCTGTGATATATGACTTCAAGACATCCAGCCAGCTTTTGAAAACAGAAGATTGTTGTTTGGATGCTGCCTGCCTGAAAGACAGAGAAAAGAACTGTGTATTTCATTAACTCTGGCTGAATAAATTCATCTAGCCCGTCTGCCTCTGGGAGTCCTGCAGCTCATTTCAAGGCAGCTCTGAAATAACTTTACGCCAAAACATATCCAAACCAGCAGAAAATGCTTGTTGAAGTGCTGTCTTTGCTCGCAGCAAGAGAGCCTCCACAGGGACTGGAATTGTTTTGTGATCACTGCATTACCTTGTCATTGTTCAAGGGATTGGAAACATTATTAGAAACAGAGAATATTAGGTTGGAAAGGTTTAAGCTGCATTTGCCCTTGCAGAAAGTACATCTCTCTCTTTAGGCGTTTGAGGGAGGTATATGAACTCTTCAGTGTGCTACTTTCTTAAAATATACAGTATGTTTTGTTGATGCAGAATTTTAATACATTTTTAAAAATAAGAATGTAACCAGCAGATGTTCTTGGGCTCATTACTGGGTTGCCTCTCGCCCCCTCCTTGATTTCTGATCTTAGATATTGAGGACTTACAATGTCCTCGATGCCGATGGCGTTCCAGCTTTGCATGATGGGTAGGAAGGAGATGAATGTGGGGATGAGCCAGCAGCCGCTGAGCATCACTGCCACTCTAATCGGGGTCATCTTGTGCCTGTAGACCAGCGGCTGGCAGCAGATAGCATAATACCTGGAATAATACACACACACACACACACACACACACACACACTCAGACACACACGTTGTATACTACAGTGTACATGTTACTGAGCTTTCAAATGGCATTAGATGATGATCTTTTTCAATCTCATTTATCATGCGATATCTTATATACCCAAATGACCCACCCAAATAAGTCCTCCCACCCAAAATTCAATTTATTACACTTCTGTATTATTCTTTCCTCTAAGGAAAATAGCTGAGAGACTCAGAATAATTTATTATTTATTATTATTGTCTTTCATTATCATTTTGATTTATTTTATTTGACTTTGTATGACTTATTTGCGGGAATCTCTCTTTGTAGTGCATCTTTCATCAGTAGATTGTGTTTTCATTATGTTCATTTGCAATGTCTTGGATTTGCGTATTAAATTACAGCATTTTTAGCTTCCAAGTATACATCTGAGAGTATGATAAGCAATGTAATTTGTCAAAAATCTATGAATGAGGTTCAATTCCCCTCTGGCAATCGCTCTCATACACACAAACCTGTCCAGTGCTATGCAGCAGAGGTGCAGGATGGATGCTGTAGTCAACAAGACGTCCAGAGACGTTCGAACCAGGCAGAAGATCTCTCCGTACCGCCAGTGGCCAGTGGTCAGCTCGATCGCAGCAAAGGGCATCACCACCAGCGCAACCAGCAAGTCAGCAAATGCCAACGACACAATGAAGTAGTTTGTCTTCTTCTTCCTAAGAGGGAAGGACAGGAGACAACAAAGTTATGTATCATAATGCCTCACCTGATTATAATAAGCTTGAATCTCTGACTGTTAAAGGTGCTACAGCTCTGCCAACTGTCAGTGTGACTTTTCAGAAATATGAAGTGACTGGCATGTGTCCAGTTTTGCACTGATAAATAAAGACTGATCAAGATTTTAGGAAATTATAATTATTTTTTTTTAATGATTAAATCATATATTTTGAAAACATTTAATGTATAGATCATAATTTTCACTTTAAATTCAGTTTCTTGTAGTTTGACTTTGATTGTAGGGAAGTCATGAAATGTCAAAGGTACGATGAGCTAACCAGTCCAGTCAGAGAAAGTGTTTCTTCCTGTAATGCGAGTGCTTTGACATTTGATGGGTTTGCACAACATGTACTCAAAAAGCACCCCAAATAGGTTTCATTTAAACGTTGAAAAAACTGAAACTCATCTCAACCTGATTTGCCAACACATGTGCAGCTCTATGACAGTTTTATGACAGAAACAATACTAGCTTTGTTATTGATGCATGTTGCATTTTTTAACACAGTTTCCTTACAGGAACATGTGTGTATTCAATACAAATTGCAGACAACAAATTCTTTATCTCTTTGTTTTTGCTGTGCTTGTCTCATTTAAGTCACATTTGAATTTCCAACGTATACCACACAATTTTTAAAACAATTTCTTACCTTACAGGCAGCTATTAGAGGACTTAAACTTGTTCACGTTACAGAGGGAACCTTGAGGTTTGTCGTGTTGTACGGATTCAGATGGCTGAATTTCACTGGGACTTTAAAGCCAGATTGGACTCACCGTAAATGTCTGTCCTTGCAGAGTGCCACCATGACCAGCAGGTTTCCAAACACTGTCATAATGATAATAATGGAGAGAAAGATGGTGAGAACGATAGTCTCCAGCGAGCTCAGGAATTCCTGCTGCTGCTGTTGTTCCTGTTGTTGTTGTTCTGTGTTTATTACGTCATCCAACAAACTGCAAAAAAACAAAAGAAAAGCCTTTTGAAATTGCTCATATATCAGATTATCTAGGGTAGATAATATTATTAGTATCGATAGTAGATAGTATAGATAGTGAGGAAAGACATGCGGCAGATGGAGACATCAACTTCATATTTTACAACTGAACATAAACATTGGTTTTGCACAAATAACCCCAATTGTGTCACTGAGGATGGTCTCTTTAATTAAGTAGGAAGCCACACCTACATAGAAATTAGTAGCAATTAGTACTTAAATAAGGCAAACTACAAAATGAATTTTATGTTTAGAGAGAGATTCACTAGAAAGCAATGATAGTGAAATAAATTAACCATGTTTTAAAAAGCTAATATTTTACAGAACTGGTTTGGGATTTGTAATTTGTAAACTGGTTAATAATGAGTTTGAATTTATGGCTTACTGTCGAGGTGATGCTGTGGCCATCACTGGTCATCTGCATTGAGGTCAGCAGAGGATGGTCCTTTTCACCCCATGCTCTGGCCCTGTCAAGACACACACACACACACAATTGTGGAATTGTGCTGGCTCTTGCAGTAAGTCTGCATTTTTCCGAAAATAGTAGCCAGCTTGCGTGTACAAATGGGCTGGATTTCTTGATGTTTGTCTGTCTTGTGGCAACATTAAGGCGCCAAAAATGTGGTATTTGTGCCTCAAATAAGTAACTGGATCACAGCTTGAGAGCGTGTGATATTATAAGACAAACAGGCAGCAACAGGCAGCAGCTGTTTCTGCCAGATTCCATCAGCATGTTAGTTTGTCTTTGTAATGCAATAATAACACCATGCTTTAGTGAGTGCCACAAGGGAAATTCTGTTTTTCTTATCCCCCTGTCAAGGGAGGTCAAAGGTCAGATATGAGCTCCTGAACAGCACCTTTGGGGCAGGTAGAGATTCAGTAGATCATCATTGTCCCTGCTGAAGGACAGTCTGTCTGACCCTGCAGCCCTTATTTAACCTGGTAAATAAGGTAAACATATTGGTTTTACTAACAAAAGCCTGAGGTGCAGAGAGGACAGTTAGTTTACAAACAGACGAGGGAGGTTATGTTATTAACTCTGGGTCATTGTCCATGTGGGCCCTGTTTTACTTTTGTTCCGTCAAGTCAATAACTTCTGATTCATATCAGTATGCAGCTTCTTAAGTGTTTGATTGGCTAATTCCAGCTCTCTAATTAAGGCCAATGGGATCAATGGACGATCAAGAAGTCAACCCAAAGAGAACAAAGCCATATCTTTTTAACATCTTTGCTTTCTCTGACGGCTACCCAATAATTGTCATGATATTTCATTCTGAACCACAAATGTCAACCTCACGGTGGTGCTAAAGACGATGTTGTGGATCACAAAGTTGGTAGGATTCATCCTCTGGGGCCTTTGAATGTCTGTACGAAGTTTCATGGCAATCCATCTTTAGTTGTTGACATATTTTTGTCTGGACATACAAGTGAACTACAGAACATTGCCATTGCCATTCATTAAATGTGATTATAAAACTATATACAGAATTCTATTGCACTCAGGCAAGACACATATAAGTACTGTTATACTGTCTATATATACAAAAAAGGTTGAAAATGACTGGAGTCATACTGTGAGTCATCTTACAGTAAGTATCTGAGGAACAGCACAGAGCCTCATCAGTAGAGTTGTTATCACCTTTAAGCACCTATTACAACATCTGCTGCGTCTCTGCCTTTTTATGATGGCTGCCTGCTCTTATTGCACTCGAGGGTCAATATCATCACCTGACAGCCGGCGATCCTGTCAACAATACCTACTTCCTGCAGGCAGATCACCATTTACAGTTCACGTCTGCGTATCATGTAGTCCGGTAATTCTCAACTCTCTGTCGGTGCAGTGTTGGTTGTAAGGCTTTGATGTAAGTTGAAATTAACTTATCCCTTTATTTCATGTAAGAGTCATTTGAGTCAATTCAGAATAAAGGCAGTTACAGTACGGTTCTGCGAGACTGGACTGGATTTGCTTCGTTTCCAGTGAAGCTGCCGAGAACCCCTGAACTAGTCAACAGCTTCTCCAGTTCTGACTTGGCCAGACTTTTATGTAAGACATATGTACATAACATTCATTGGGTTGTGAAAATATAGTGTGTGGGGGGGGGGTTGAATGTCTTGAAAATTGAGCTGAAATTGAAATCAAAACAGAGGTGACAAGGAAAGTTCAGGGTGTTTCTATCAACGACTTCCTCGAGGGGAGCACAGGAAGGACACAAACCAGATAGATTACAATAAAGTGTCACTGTACTTGGCTGAAGAGCAAACATATTATCTGTATGTACAAGGGGAAGAAAGACATTAAGTTCACTTTCTGAACACATAAAGGACCATGGACAGATTATAAAATGCTACCGCCATCTTTGGATGTCAAGTGAACGCCACATGCTGCTGTTTAAAGTCTGTTAGAGCTAGTTAGCAAGCATGCAGAGAAGTTGACCAAGCCAAACATTTACTTTAGAATCCAAATCAGTCTCTACTTTAAGGCATTCATTGTGTTGCACTCCATGATACATATGAGAAGTGACTGAAGCCGTTCTTGGGAATGATGGACAAAGAGAGCTCAAGAAAGTAGAAATCCCACTCACTTCCATACCTCCACACACCTGGCCATTAAACAAATGTTATAAGAGGTAACAAGCACCTAATTTTAAGTGCACTGAGGCCTGTAGGGGCCCATGACCCCATGGGCATTTGGGCCTGTACCCGCATCCATGATTAGGATACAAAAACACTGATTATACAAACAGTAAATATAATTAAATGTCAAGTTGCTGAAGGAATAATTCCGCTCAACAATGGTGCACAGATTGGATGTTGTTCATTCAGCTTGGCATTCTCATTATAAACCCAGTTTCCAATAGCATACTGTAAAATGACTAAAAATGATTACTGTTTGCATCTTAAATGGTCCCTAAATGAAACTGCAGCATTATCTTCTTGCTCTCCCTCACACACAGGAATCATCACTGAACAACAAAACTAACACTACCCACTACCGTACTCAGTTGCTCACTCAGTTACTCACACTTCGGAATCTAAGGAATGAAAAAATATTTGCTCAATCTGAATTTCAACGATATGAAAAAAAGAAGGGAGACAGAAAAAAGAGAGCGAGAAGGTAGGGGAGCCGTGTTTATGACAGGTTGCTGTGGTTCTCCTGTGTGATGTGTGTCCAGGGAGGCGTGGTTTCACAGCTCACCGTGTCCATTTCACATCTGACTGACACGAAGTTGAACTGAACAGAATGAACTCTGGAGAGCAGTGAGCAGGAAGAGACTAGGTTACTTTTCCCCTATTTTGTGTCCTGCCTAACCCATAGTTATTATTGTCATTATTACTATAAAAAAATCAACTTTATTTTGGTTGTATTCATTTTTTAATCCTCATTCTTACTGTCATCACCATTGACTATGATCAAAGCCTTAGAAATATATACTAAAACTATACTGTGCATCATATCAGTAAAGCTGATTGAATGGCATCAGTGTAAATGGAGAGAGAAAACAGACTAAACCTCTCCACAGCAATAACTATAACTATAACCAAGTGATCCTCCACATTGATGAATGATAACATTGTGTAAACAGCACCCCCAAGCACTCATTGCACGGTCCAGCTATGTCAGCAACTTAATAGGAAAAAGTATATCGATGACCTATTACTGCTGTACAGAAACAAAAAGGAAATCAGAAGGATATGGGTTCACACTGTTTTCCAATGCAGGAGGAGTTAGGAGAATCCAACACTCTGTTATGAGAGCTGTAGTCCTTTGAAAACAAACCTAACTCATACTTTGGTAAAAAATAAAAATAAATAAATAGAGGACTAACTTCAGAAGGCTGATAGGTAAAATTATGTTATGTAAAGTGATGTATGGTAATATAAGTGTTTAATAAGTCGTATACAACAATATTGTTCATCAAATTGCTCTTAAAGTGATCCCAACGATATCCTTTGCCACTGTCGTCATTATAGTCGCGTAGTGGACTCCCACTTGAGTTAGAAAGATTTTTAGAATATATTCATAGTTGTTGTTATAGTTATTGTTCTTGGTGTAGAAGACCATCCAATAGCTGCTGAAACATTTGATCTATAACCATAAATCTGAAACTCACAGTGGCACTAAAGTAAAAGTCAGTAGGATTCATCCTCTGGTAACCATGAATGTCAGTACAAAATGTAGCACCATGATCCAATCAAATTTCAAGAAATGCATCCAAAAGTTATTGTTACTGATATTTCAATTTGGGCCAAAGCAGTAGACTGACAGAGCAACATTGGCATGCATATAGCCACACCACTATTATGCCTAAAAAAGAAACAGGCAGACATACAGATTGAGGTAGTGCTGCTCTGGAAAAAGAAATAAATAATCTCACTGGCTGAAAATCCCAGTGGGCAGAGCCAAAAGTCACTGCAGTGGCATGGATCTGTGGCGTATGAAAGAACACACACACATTGCCCTGCTGGAGTCAACTTGCTGGCACTGTCATTGGCTTCAGCATAATTTTAACAACTGCCTTCACTTTTAAAAAGTGAACAAACCAGCAATATGAGCCATCTCAAGTCAGGAGGAGCAAAGGCTAATAACAAAGATCAGTTCAAGTCAAGACATTAACCCAGCTATATGATTGTATATATATGTATATTTGTTAATGAAATACTGTTGGAAAGCAATATTTGATAAACAGATAGATGTGGACTGACTGATAAACAAAAACAAACAGGCAGACAGACGATGTAGGAGGACTGACTGACTCATCTGATGAGAGCTGTAATTAGAAGATGCTCACTCGCCATCTGGGAAACTTCCTGATCTACAGGGCTGCACAAACTGCCTACCTGATGCATGTCTGAATAACTGACTCTGCTTGATTCAAGACAAAGTTTATGTTTCTGTCAAAGACATCTCATAGGAGATGTAGTTTCCTCCTGATGCTATAACATCATAATCAGACCAGCCATGCCACCACATCACTCAATTCCTGTTGACGGTCAGTGTCAACAGGAATTGTTAAAAGGTGTAAGAGTGTTTAATTGAGAATGCGGACATTATTTTAAAAATAAGACATCCATGAAGAAGGAACATGGACAAGAAGTCATTCATTATGTTTTTAATTACGTCTGCCAAAGGACTATTTTACATACAGCACATCAGCCTCCAACTCTCAATAAGTGTGTCATGAGGTCAGTGAAAACACTCTGAGATGTTAGGCAATCCTTACGATACCAAAGCACCCTTATTTCTTTGCTTGCACTTGAATACTTTTACATGGAATCACTCTATTAGGCTATTTTTACTTTTACATCAGGACTTGAGTATTTCCTCCTTTTCTGGGCACAAAGCACTCCTCACTCCCTCTTTATTCCTCCTCTGTAACCCTGTTTTCTAATCATTCATGTGACCATTGTTATTGCACTTTATGCCACACAAAACCTGCACACACACACACAAGCAAAATTTCACACT